CCCCCCCCTCTGCCCTTCCCACCCTTCTCGTGTACTTTCTTTTCGCGGATCTGCTCGTCGATGGCTCCTTCGCGGCACCTTCCTCGGTCTCTTTTTGCCACGTAGTAGCAACCTTATGTAATGTCTCAGTTGCGTGTCTCCCCGTGTGCAGCTTGTTGCGCTGATGACTTGCCCCGCGTGCACACCTGTATGCAATAGCACGCGACGAGCCTTTGGAAAAAACATGAGGTGCAGCAATGCGCATTATCACGGTATAACGAATCAGGAATCTTGCAAGTCAGATCTGAAATGCAAACATTAAACTCGCATTTTAAAGATATACATGGAACGTGGTCTTGACAAAAAAAATATTGATATTATCGCAAATTTTTTTTCTATATTTCTTTAATTAAATAAATAATAAAATGTATACTTAGAGTTATATGAAATGTGTGAAGACCCTTGAAGAAGTAACGTCTTTTAAGATACTTGATCATTTCCGACTGACATCGAAATGTTCATAAAGTAGACATATGTACTTACGATGCTAAACATGACCGAGTATGCTTCACGCATTCCAATCAGCAAGAATAGAAAGATCTCAAATTAAGCACCTCGACGGAAGATTTCTCCAACTGTTTCTTCCTTATATATTTGTTTCCTGATCCGATATCGATATTAGCGCGCGTATTCATCGGGATTGCGAAGATTTATGATCGTTCCGTATTACTTATGCCTGGCGGTTTTATTAGCATGATTGGTCGCTCCGAGGATAGATCGCTGCACTTGTAACCGGATCTCGTTCTCCGGTTAGGAGCTCGATATCTCGATCTTGTCGGTGCGATGGCTTGCTCCGAGCTTAAAAGAAGTCGTTCGTTCGACGTAGTTATCGGCGCTTCGTCTCAAGAGCGAACGACACTATTTGTAATTTGTTACGAGGGTTGCCTCGTTATGGTCGGTTTTAAATCCTTACGATCTTGCTGTCGCTGCCCATGGCGACGGGGGACCCGCCCTCTCGCTAAGTACCGAGCCTTCGAGCGTAATCCAAACCTCGGTCTTAATGAATTTTCTGATTTAATAAAAGAGCGCGTGTGTGAATGTGCGCAGCCGACACCGGAATGTTACTAGCGATTGAAGAGAAGTCGTCAAAATTTGCATACGCATGACATGCGTTTATCAGCTCGTAATCGCTTCGATAACGACTTCGTTAAGTGTTAAAATTTTCAGCGCGCGATGCAATTTATATTTTTTTTATTCAAAACGAAATGACATCAAACTAGTTTTTACATATAACATACGGATTTTGTTGTCAAGAGCATAAATGTCTGAGCACTGTCTTATTTTTCAAAGAATTTTATTTCAAACGGTTGTATCTCTTTCACGTTATGAATCGCAAACACTAATTCTCACCATGGCATGTATAAGTATGCGATTGATAATGAGAATTAATTAAGGAACGACTTGAGCACGCGTCTCATTTCTCGACTCATCTCAACCGTTTAATAATCTCGAAAATTTTGACGGTCAGGGAGGTCTAAGTATCCGCGCGCACAGACGTGTCTATACATACGCATAGTACATACGGAATAGCTGCTTGGCATCTCGCCCGATGATTCTCCCGAGTGCCCTGCATTCACCGTCTCTAATAACAATAATAATAAGAAGGGACGGAGGGCCGTTTTAATCAGAGGGTTTGCCCACCCGATGTGATTAACTTAAAGGACCGAGGAAGAGGGCGAGGAAAAGGGCGGATACCCGCTGTCATTTCAGGTGTTTATCATATCAGTGAACTGAGGGGTCGCGCTCCGTCATCCTGACTGGAGGATAGGGTGGAATCTTGGATTTTGCGTATACCTTCGTTCGTTGTTTCTTTCTGTACATTTTCCTGACGGCGTCTTTCTTCACTTCTCATCCCTGTTTCATTATTAACCGTTCGAGCGTGGAAATGTCCTTTTATTTTATCGTCGGTATATTCCGTATGAGAATGACGCGAGTGTTTTATGTAATGTTAATTCGTCGCCACCAGCTTTGTCAAAATAAATAGAAATAATGGAATGGGGAAAGAGAGAAATGAGTGGATAATGCCTCTTGTTTAAAAAAAAAAGAATAGACAATCTAAGAATGCGTTTTGCATTTAATTGCTTTTAATTGCAGTTGAGATAATTTTTCGCTTCCAAATTTTTTATTATTTTGTTATTAAAAAAATCGTTTATCTGAAAAATAAAGCAGCTTGCGGGAATGCGAAACGTCACGTGCATTTTCCGAAGCTAAGTATTTTCGTTCTGCGGAAAATATAGGTTTTTAAGGAGGATATAGTCTTACCATAGGAAGGATGGAAAAAATGCGTGACTATGCCCAACTGACAATGCCACTCTTCCTTTTGGCACTAATGTCATGTCTGCGGAATTCCGCAGAAGAAACTCTCTTATTTCTCTTCCCAGTTTCCTTGCTCTTGCTCATCTTATGCCTCATGCTTTACTCTGACGTTCTAATTAACAGGATTTTCCTGCGAGTCTTTAAAAAAGCGCGCTCTGACAAGTAACGATCAAATAAAATCACTTGATTCTCGAGTCGATTCAAATTTGCAATAAATTTTCTAAACATTGCGCGATCTCTTCATTTATGTCATCAGTGAATAACTATAAATACTATATAAATTGAATGAGAAAAATCTGATTTGTTATTCTCTTTTTAGCTGTGATTTTTTTA